GATAAAAGGCACTTTGCACTCCGTTTGGCGCAAGATCAAGAGAGCCCACGGCTCTCTTTGAAAAGTTAAAACACCGGTGACACACTCTCTTGACGTCGTTGACGTAGATATAACCGATACTTCGCCTTCAGCGATTCCAAAGTGAGAAGTTCAAGTGACGCTCGATTTTTTAAACAACGTACTTTCATAATGGAAGTTCCAACACACACCGTTGCGATGATTAAAATGAGATAAAATTTAAAAAAAAATTCTAACTAGATAGTAAGGAAAATATCGCTTTTTTTTTCATGTGTAGCGAATATTAACATTTTCGATTACGTGTGAAATGAAATACTTAACTTCTTGTCATATACATACATATACATAAGAGCCATTCCACGTGCTCGACGAGGAACACGGCGATTTTCCACGGAAGGAGCGATAAGGCTATTGCGGAAACGGGTCGCCGTGGCACTTCGCCACGACCGTTGAATTTCGCCGGAAGTCACATCGACGATGGGTAAATGAGGCATATACGTGGAACACACGGACGATCGGTCTCTGATCTATAACGAGCCAAATTCGCTCGTGGCTTCTTTCGGACATTAAGCGATATTATCGCCGCGATTTCAACGACGGGCTTTCTCTGGAAAAGAATTTCGTTGAAACGATTGAATCACCGTATCAGCCATTTTTAAGCTCGAATCTCTGTATAATCCGATTTGTTGGAATCGGATGTCAAGCTGATGAAGCTTTGTTCGCAAGTTAATTGTTACAGAGATCTTTGATATAATTAATGGTTATCGCGAAATGATAACGTCGCGATAAAAGATGCGAACAATTTATTTTGAAAAGGACGGGAAAATCGAAAAGACTTTCTAGATTTCTGTCAATCATAAACGATTGATTCATCCATATCATTTTTCGCGAATCGCGTACGTTATAGCCAAAATTCTTTACATCGGATAAATACTCTGCTGATTTGTTAACAATCAAATACGTTTTCGCGGATTGAATAATTAATTGTCGTTTTAAGCATCTGACAGCTGCAAATGTTGACGTGGAAAATCGATGAACATTTATCCTGTATCTCGACATTGCAAAATATTCCAATTTCACAAATATCTCTCGATCGAGGTATTGAATATTAAATGCACAATTCTGTAACGTACTGAAATAATAACGCGATTGATAATTAAAATTAGTAAAACGCATAGCCAACGAAATAATTAATTATCGATTATTTCTGTATTAAATGGCGATTATATCGCGTCATATTATTTAAAAAAAAAAGCTATTGTGGAAATATTTCTTTTGTTCCTTTCTCTTTTTCTATCGCTTTGATCGCATTTAATACAGAAATTACAATATAATTTTAATTATAACTTTCGCTATTTTTTCTCCGTAATAAATATAAAGATTTACATTAGATTTAGAGTACGCTTCGTGCTCTCTAGATCTTGATGTAAACACATTTATCGTGGGAAATTCGGAAAGAAAACGAGAGAAAAATAAGTTAGACCTCTTGCATTCTATGCTCTTCTTCTCCTTTCTGATCTCCGATTTACGGATCACTGAATCGATCATATTCGAAGTCTCTTATGAATTGCCTATCGTGTCGAATGCATGCGACACGTGTCGATGACACGTGCGAAGGTAATAGAGACGACATGATAGGAAGGATGGGGAGAGAGAGAGAGAGAGAGAGAAAGAGAGAGAGAGAGAGAGAGAGAGAGAGAGAGAGAGAGAGAGAAATTGCGAAATACTACAGGTAGTTTCAAATGTAGAAATGCGAGAGTGCGCGATAGCATATGTAATCGTGAATTGAGGACGAAGAATTTGTAGTGAGTCGTCGTCGTCCTTTTTAACATGCGTCCTGATCGCGTAAGATATTGTCAGCCGAGCCGGCGATCGTCGACGATCGAAAGAAAAAGAGAGAAAGACACTTCTCTTCGGCCCTCGTCCGGATTCGCGTGACGCTTCTCAAAAATCGTTCGCGTAATTGAAGAGGATTCATTTACGCAACGACAATCAGCGCGTACGATCCGCAAAAAAAAAGTAGTGAGATAGTTGACGATAAAATTGTGGAAATTAGTAGTCGATTAGCCGATAGTTATCACTAATTATTAATCTCTAATACAAAAAAGAACGAAAGAGAAAGTGAGAGAAAGAGAGAGAGAGAGAGAGAGAGAGAGAGAGAGAGAGAGAGAGAGAGAGAGAGAGAGAGAGAGAAAATGAATACATAGAAAGGACGTACAATCGTGAAATGACAGCCGCGCCGATCCGGGCAAGGGTTTCGTCCTAAATCGATGCATTCTAAATGAGAGGTCGCGTTTTGCAGTCGGCCTGCACTTTTGCCCCCAATCTCGCGATTATTCATATCGCGGCGAACAACGTTGGTTTCCCCGACGTGCGATCGTCGGACGCTCCGACGTATAGTTTGTTGTAATAATGAAGAAAAAATTTAATTAGCGAATGTGTGCAAAGTTATACGTACGTTTGTCCAGTACTATGCTAAAGAAGAGAAAAAGAAAGAGAGAGAGAGAGAGAGAGAGAGAAAGAGAGAGAAAGAGAGTACTTTCTCTGAATTGAGTCTCGATGTCCACAACCGCCATTGATCCTTGAGCTATCAAATTTGTGGATTCTGGAACTCTCATTGAATTCTTGAATCTTCAGAATCTTCCTGAATCCTGAGATTCTTGCGTTCTCGAATGTTTGGACGCTCGAAGTCTAAATTTCTCGAGTATACGAATACTAAGATTGGATCTTTTAAATCCTTGAAGACTAAAGTCTCTTGAAAATTATGTCTATCACTTATTGTATCGATCAAGCTCTAGGATCTTCGGTTTCCCCCGAAGAAGAGAGATCCTTGGAAAGCTAGATCTGGAACAATTCCTATCCTTCTTGGATCTTTGTATCGTCGCGATTTTAGAATCCAAGGATCTACATTACTGGATGCTTAACTTTCGATATTTCTTATCCTCGAATTCTAGATCTAGATCTCGCGATCGTAGTTTTATCCGCTAGAGAGTATCGACGGTTCGGTTTGTACGAATTTGATTTCGCAAGGCATGGTCTTACGTCGCAATTGCGACGATTACGGATCGAATTTTGCGAGAGGCGAGACGAACACGATTCTTGCCCTCGTGAGAGGGGCAAGCGTCCAAAAGTTCGTGGTGCATTGTACGCGCTGGTATTTTTTCGGTGTTCCACGGTGATAGATTGTGTAAAACTAGAGAGACGAATAATAAAAAAGAAAAAAAAGATGAAGAGACCGCGGCGCAGCCGGTTTTTGCCGGTATACATAGAGATATTTACGTAAGGAAGGAGGAAAAGCGGCGTCATATAAAATAAAATGTATAGATAAAATAATTTTGAGAGCGCGACGCGAATGTCGAGTGACGATGATGTTACTACTACTGTATGAGACGAATAATAACACACGATTAATTATTATTAACGATTACAATTAAATATTGTCCCGATTATTATTAGAGAAGTATGGAGATTTATTACTGCGACCACGAAGTTCGCAAAGAAGAAAAAAAAACTTTGATCTTTTATCGCAAAGAGGACACACAACCAAATATATAAGCGTTTGTAAGGCACACATGAAAAAAAAACACAAACAAAAATAAGTTAGTGAGAGAAAGATTGCGCGAAAGAAAGTGAGAAAGAGCACGAGAGTGAATGAGAGAAAGAGAAAACGCGAGCGTAAGTGAAAAAAAAGAGAGAAAGAAATAAAAGAGCGTGCATGAGAGAGAGACATTAGTTCCGTTTTTGAATGTTGAGAATGTTCATTTGTAATTGTTTAAATTTAATGAGAAATGTACTGTAAAACTATAAGTACTATAGGCACTAAAAATATATCATTTGTTGACATGAAAAAATAAAAAAAAAAACCGACTGTGTGAGTTCTATCCACGCGCGTGGCGTATTGCGTATTTGCATTTTATATGCGCGTAATTGCAATTGCAACGTATATTGCGTGCGAGTACAAATTCTGTTTTTTTTTTCCTTTTTCTTTCTCTCTCTCTCTTTCGCTTTCTGTATACATATATACATATATATATATATATATATATATATATATACATGATAACGAAGTCGCGAATTAAAATAATCAGATAGTCGCGTTGCTGCGCCTGTTGTAAATGGAAGTGTGCATACCATCGCGTGAAATCGCGCATCTCAATTAGGCGAATGAACGACGAGCTTCACTTTAGCATTAAGCCACACGGGCATAGTAACACATATAAATCTATATAATATAGGCCATGAACATATTATCGATTTTTGTAGCAAAAGCAAGAGAGAAAGAGACGAATCTCTTTATGCGTCAGAAATCTCTGATGATAATGAAGTACCATTAAATCGTAAATATGATAGAAGCCCATTAAATGTTTGTCTTGTCAAGTTGATCCAAGTTTATTCTAGCGCTCATGACTAACATGGCAATCTACTTTTCTATTTTTCGTCGTTTACTCAAGAAAGAGAGCGAAAGAGAAAAGGAAAGAAAGAGAGAGAGTTACTCAGTTGTCGAGTTGCATCGGGAATATGCGACACTTAGGGAAACGGCTCTTCAAGATCCGCGGAGAAGAAGGTAAGTGACATTTCGAGATATTTACATGGAAAGTATCTTTTATACAACGCATGTACTCGCTATTTACAATCATTACTCACAGCCATAAAAATTCGAAATGGCACGGTTGTTGATCAATAATATATTACGCGAGAGGAATATCGTTGTATAGCAAAATGCAAAGTGTTCGTAGTAAACTATTGACACATGCGAACGGTCATTATGTAACGTGTGCTAAATCTGCTAACTGTTAAAATATTCGTTTCTTTTTTTCTGGCTGTTAAAAAAGTAACGCAGTATTCTTTTTCGATTATCTACTATTATCTTTAAATGTCTTATAGTCTTATAGTTAATCCTTAAAAATTATCACCGGAATATAATCAAGAAATGTAATTATAAAAATCGATATATTTTATTTATATATTGAACATGCATAATATTTACTGAATTCGTTGAATTTATTAAATTATAAATAATATTGGAATAAGAATAAATTAAAATAGAAAAGTCATTAACTTAAAAGCAAATGTAATTGGCGCCTCGTCTCTTCGGGGCAAATTAAAAGTTAATCGAACAAATACAAGTATAATTGGAAGATTTTAGTTCCACACTTTTAGTAAAATCCACAAGAGAGAACGTCAACATCACAAACAACACGTTAACGAATTCACTATTAAATCATTATTATCGGCTATCGCTATTGCTGCTGTTGCTGTTGCTGCTGCTGTTGCGCCGAACTAATGGTTTCTATTTTCTGTTCGTTCTCCCGATTCGGCGAGTCCTGCTTCCTCTTCTCCTCATCGGTCTCCTTCGTCGGCGGCGCCAACAATGCATTCAGCAAGCCTTGCATTATCAGTATTATTAACGTAATTTCACACGATTTTACTTTATTACGCGAAGTATGTCACAGGCCGATTAATTATTATTTAATTATCGAAATCAGTTTACTCACCGATGTTCTCTCCTTTGAACGAAGCTCCTAACAAAAAGAAATCTCGATTAAAACACCGTCACAGAAATGAAAAGTAACTTATAAAAATCAACACTATTCTCTTTTCACAAAAAATAGAATCCAATTGATGTAAAATGGTCTGGAATACTCTTCCCTCATCATTTCATCGGGAAAAGAATTTCAGTTTCGTGCGCAAAGAGCCATAGATTTTTACTCACCGCGGTACTTATTCAGCTGCTGGTACACCTGCTTCATCCTTTCGATATTGATACGCGAAGTCTTGTTGTGATTCACCATCGGTAGCGAGTACTCCTTGCCGATGACACATTTGGCGGCGTGTTGTATGCTGAGGGGTGCGTTCCACGGTTCGTGGATATATCGGGTCGGAAAGTTCTTCAGCACTGGCAGGTAGCGTCTAATCGTGTAACAGTACAAATAAGATCGATTTTATCGAGGGAGAGGGTAACCACCCTTTCCACGAGCGTGCAAAGTTATTTACGGGGAAAATTAATGGCAGAAGAAAGTGCGAATAATTTATTTTGTTTGTGCGTGCTCGTCGCACTCTCGTAAAATGTTGAATAATAACGTTATTTCGTAAAAGCATTAATAATCTGATAATCGGATGTTGTCGTCGCCGACGATTTGCCACGATTAAACTTTAATGGAACTAAGCTATTTAACGTTCCATCTATTTCCATCTATTTCGCGGCTAAATTCTACTTCTCGCGGATTCACGCTCGATGCGTTGGAAATTAAGATCAATCAAGATTAAAATTTCCATTAGTCTGGTCATCTCGTGAACGTTAATTTCTGCTCTGATACCATTATATATACACGCTTTTATTAATAAACGTTTTCAACGAGGAGATAACAGACATAAAAGGACATAAGAGATATATAAACGCGCTCATCGAGATTTTTTCGAAATTATTCGCGCTTCTTATTTTAACAAGAATATTAAAAAATATTTTATAATCCTAATCGCGCGATTCGTCACCTGATATAATCGCCGTTTGGATCCGCCTTTCTACCGAATCGTACGGGACAATAGCAATGGAAAAACTGTTGAAAGAATGAACTGCACGACAGCCACATCCACATGCCGGCATTGACGGACCAGTCGGCGTCCAAGAGCAGTTCATCGAACACCTTAAATTATAAAACAAATTCATGGAATAATTAAAAATTAACCCAAACTGTTAAACATAAATATTTTACTATTATTTAATATTAATAATCATGATTTAATAGCTATTTTATCAATTTGTCAAGTAATGAATAGAATAGACCATGATTTATTTGAATCAATTACGTTTAAGCAATTTATTTAATTATTTATTTTTTTGCATTAAACTCAGGATTATTTTATAGGATGCATTTCACGTATTTTTGAAAAAAGAATCTCACATTACAATAAAATTCATGTTAATAACAAGAGCAAACGGATAAAACGGACGCTGCGCGAGGCAATCAAAATGCCAGGCACGTCGCGACATTTTACCTTCATTCCTTCCTCCCATGAGATCCAAAGGTCGCCTCTGGTCAAGAAGCAAGCAACCGCATGTCTGGCCAGATGATGTATCCAACCCTCCTCGCGCAGTTGAGTCATAATCGCGTCGATCCACGGAAATCCCGTCTGACCCTGATGCGAAAAAAAAATTTTACTTCGGCCATTAAGTTTCCGAAATCATGTATGGCAATTTTTCTTTTCTTTAATATAAAAGTTTACAAAGACGTTAATATAAAATAACTTTTTTTTACGAATGATTTCGAAGATCTTCTACTTGATTGTGTTGAGGGAAAATATTCATTATTCACGTTGCAAAAAAAAATCACGACGAGGTGGAGTCTGCTCGCGCAGACGATGTAATTTTTGTCTGTGATTGCGCTTAAAATTCACTCACGTTCGCCCATTTTGCGAGCGCCTCGACGTTCTTGTCCCACGGTATCTGCACGCAAATCGGGTTACCCTGCATGCGGTCGAAATTGGAGTTCTTTGTTGCGGCGCAGTAAAAGAATTCGCGCCAGAGTAGCTGTCCGTGTAATGACAGCGGTGGCACCGCTTTTTTTATCTGAAACAATATTGTTCATACCGGATAGAACTTACTCACTTCTCTCAACATGAAATACGCAATATTATTGATAAAAGATCGACAATTTTCGCTGATGTATGACACCAGTTAAGAAATAAAAATCTCATGTAATTAATTTTCAAAGTTCCAATTATTATCGAGCAAAGGGAAGCGAAGACTCTCGTGTCGCAGGAAAACCACGATACATTTCGCGATACATTCATCGTATTATATCGACGCATCGCAAATGTGTTATCAGCGACTTACAACGATCGGGTTGCAGTCATCTTGTACCTTTTTGTACAGATCGGTGAGCTGGTAGTAAAAGAGCCGTGTGCTGAGACACCCGAATCGCAGATAAGGCGAGAGCCCGGTTTGACTCGGCAGCAAGGACTGCGGCGTCATTTTAGGTCTGCCGAAGCTCGCCACCCACGCCTTCCTCTCGAGGTGACGCTCGAGCCGCGCCAGGGCCTCGCTCTCGCCACCGACCCACACGGGGGGTAGCAGACCCTCCGTGTCGAAGCCTGTAATCACGAAGGAGCAATTAAGAGATATAAAGGCAAGATGTCACGTTACGGATACGAGTTTATTAGATAAAAAAGACGTATGTAGCAAAAGTAATGTTTTTAATATTTCTAATTAAATACAATCATTGACTCGTAATTTCAATATGAAAAAAAACGGATTTTTTGCCCTTTATTGATTAAATAAAATTTCGGATATTAATTACTTTTTAATATTAAATGTCTTGATAATCTAGCTTAGAGAGCTAAAATATTAAGAACTTAAAATATCTACTTTAAGCGCGTAATATTTTAATAACTTAATTACTTGAAGTAAAAATAAAATTCTATTATTTTATATTACTTTCTAGAAGCTTATTACGTAAGAAATTCTGCATTTCATCGTGTAGCACTCAAGGCAAATAGAGATATTTTTATTAAGTAAAAGTCGTTTCAAAATGGCCAAAGAATCCTATCACTAAGATTAAAGTCATGGATATCTAAGACATCTTGAATACAGCGCAACGTTAAGGCAAAGATCTTATTTTTTCTCCGTCCTTCAACTTTGTGAAGAATTATGAAGAAAAGAACTGGAAACCTTCGGAATATGCGTGACATTTGATAACAATAAGAGATAAAAGAATCAAAATGACAGAATAACGAGCGATATTTGAAAGTAAATAACGTAGGGACAGTACGAATAAGCTGTTACACAATGTCGGAGAAAAATTTCAAGATGTTCGTAACATTTGATAAAAACAGTCACTTGAAATAATTAATAATCGATTAAATTTATTTGAGCAATTGAACCGAGAAAAACAATACGAAACATCGGATTGTAACAGGTACTATCGACACGGAATTAATTCGCGTTACACGAGAGAACACCTGATTGCTCCCTTATAGATAACACGTTGCAGCCGTGCAACATTAATGTTGCAGCGGCTAATCTGCTGCGAGTAAATTTTTCATGACAAGTACGATAAACTCATGTTAATCCGTACAACTGCCTAGTCCGGAATATCCTATTTGAAATGCACATCGCATATTATACCTAATTACTGCCGAAATAGCGGTCGAATATTTTGATTACGGATGATTCGAGCTTCTAAAATTGTAATTAAAACTAACAATATCCGAGATACTCGAATTAGTAATAATGACCGATCTTGGATTAATTTGAAACCGATGTTTTTTAAAATAATTTTTTTATTCTTAAGGATCAAAGAAGAGTCCAGTTAAAAAGAAGAGCACAATTGTTAAGTTAAAATTGTGATATTTCTTATTATTTGATCCAAAATTAATGGTGAATTATTATTTCGACGATTTATATGATATATATTATTAAACGAAATAAAAAATTAATTCTGGAATTAAATCTTCTATTATTATTCTTTAGAATAAGATCTTTTCTCACCGAGTTCCTCGAGGGTGGGTACGCCATAATGATCATCGTGGTCATCCTTGAGAGGAGTATAGGCATTACCGATGCAAGCGGCAGTCACTGTTGATACTGGCGGTTCCGGCGGGTTCATACTGGCGACGATATTTTGAAATTGATGATAGGTCAGTGGCGGTTTCCCATTGTTTCTTTCTATGATCCTGAAACGTACGATGAAGATAGAAGATTTTAATCATGAAATAATTTAAGAACAAAACATGGATAATCCTAATGGATATAAATCCTATAAGATTCCTTAGTATTTAAATACAATCATATAGTTGATAAACATTTAGATTTCAGAAAACATGAATTTTTTTCTCATATTTCATAAATATTTTATTAAATAAGATCAATGGGAGAAATTAATTCTTGCAATTTTTTTAAAATTAGATTTTAATTACAATTGTTTAGACTGATTTTATTGCATATGTTTGAATTCTAATTGAATAAATTTTCATTATCTACTAATATTAATTAAATAATTTTATATAATTTCATTATTTATTAATATTAATTAAATTCATTAATAATTCTTATAAATTAATTGGTGTGGATAGGTTTTTTGAACTCACTCATCTAGCTTGTAGAGAGTGTGCGAGACCTTTTGGACCACCGAGATACCAAGTTCCTTACAGAGGGCCGAGATATTATGGTCTCGCACGCGACCAAACGGTTCCGAATCCTCCTCGAAGGTCAGATTTGTCGTGCCCCACTCCTTGAAGAGCTTAGGAAGCGCATCGGCCGGTTGACCGCGGATCACGAACAGACGGGAATTCAGCTTCCTTAGGGAACAGTCGAGATCTTCCAAGCACTGCAGCAGGAACCTGAATCGGACGGATATCGCATAAAAAATTGACGTGTTTAAATGCAATTGTTTTGATAGCCGTAATTTTTTAAAAACCGAAATAATGTTTTAAAATTTATATCAAATAACAAATGTTGACACATTATTTTTTTATAAATTTCTTAAAAAAAAATATCGAAAAAGTGTCATTGAAGAAAAAGAATTATATAAAATGTTCTTGCGACAATTAAGATTTGACATAGTAATCGAGATGACATAAATGTGCCACGCTGTTGTTGACTTATTTTTGACCAATGTCACCGCTAATATCCTCTCTGTCGACTGTGATTCAGTAGGATTATCGACAGCACCTAACCGTAGGATCGTTTAGAAGCCGGTTACATAACGCTTAATCAACATGACAAATGATAGATGATGAGAGCCGCGCTTGAACGTTTGTCGCACTAATGCAACGAGATTGTACGATGCAACGAAGATGTACTGCTTTGTATTGAACACAACCTTGGCTATCGCCATCATTGACAAATTAAACAGTCGTTACTCTCGATCGTCGAATATTATATTCATTTAAATTAAAAAAAAAAATAGGGAGGAAAAAACTCTAAATCTATATTATTGACGTCAATTATTAATATCCAAATATCTAAATTTTCCTTTGCCATCAACATTCATTCGCAACAAGATTGAAGCAAGAATAAAGCAAATCGACGTAGAAAGATTTTATCGATTGCATGTTCCAACAAGATAATGTATGCTTGATGTCTGATCGCATTAGTTTTACTTTTTGTAGATAGTCTCAGTCTCTATTTCGTGCGACTCCGCGAAATATATCGGCGGTCGCTCACCTCCATTTATTGATGCCGACATTGGTGCTTCCGGCGAACCAGGGGTCCAGCACAAAGACGCACCGGAAAGTGGACGCCCCCGCAAGACCCTCCTTCAACGAAGGGTTGTCGTGCAGCCGGAGTCCCTTACGAAACCAATGAACCGTATGCTTCCTGCCATCGCCTCGGACACCCGATGCCACCCCCTGAACCATTTCGTTGTTACTACTTCCTGTCATCTTTCCTCAGCGCACCCTTCGAGAAACGCACAATCTTAATTAGTTTATTCGATACATTTGGAAAATTCCATTACTGTTCCATTCGCAGTAAAATGAAGGAATGTTTGCACAGAGTGTTTTAGGAATCGTATGTGAATTTTTTTCAGGTATTTGCTGTCGAATTGATGTGGTTATTTTTTTTTAATCGATTACTTAAAATTAAAATTACTTAAAATTAAAAAAAAAATAGTCTTGTCTGATCATTCAATCGCAATGCTATACATTTTTATTAGAATCAATTACATTCCTAAGGTATGATTTGCCATTGCATGATTAATATAATTTTCCTCAATTAACATCTAACATATATAAAAAAAAATTCTCGAAGATGTGTCTCTAGGGAACTAGAAATTTAAAAAGTGAATTGATTTGACTCTTTCGCTATAAGATTTTCTCTCGATTGCCGTAGATCAGTGCGAAAAACGCATGTCTTGAATTTCTACGCAACATCTCGAAAGGAGATGTGAGGGTGTTCGAAGCCCAAAGAAAAGTACGGCGTGGCGCAAATCAATCCCCGTGGGAGTCCTTTTAACTGTACCTTCAGACGTTCCCCGTCACGTAACACGTGTTAAAGGGTCTGTCTTCCCTTTCGCTGTTAAGCTGGAAAAATAAAAGTCGGTTCGACCTTGCGGTTGGAAGCTTCCTGCTCTATCCTGACTACGCATCGTGCGGAAAATTCGATTTTCTCAGATGTCGGATTTATTTCTGTAGCACATGCTCGAAGAAGGCAATGCTTTGATTGGCCTATTCTGATTTGACGTCTTATCATCCGGGGATGAAAACAATTATTAGCGTTTTGATATTATTTATTTTTTATACCTTTTAAAATATTATTAATTATATCTAGAATTATTTAAAATTATTTATTATATCTGGAATTTTGATAATATTTTTCTTTTATTTGTAATAGGACAATAATTTTGGTTTTTTTCTCAGATTAAGAGATATTGTCTTTCCGAATAATTGGTGATAACTAAATTTCTCCTTGTGAAACGAACAAACTTATTTTCGTAATGATAGGAATCGATTGAGAGCTTTTATCATTTATTGGAGAAAATTTTGATAACCCAATTTTCTAACAATTCCTTGGCACATTCTATTTTTATACTCGCGATATACAGTTTTGCACTCTTCGCACTGTCGCGAAACTATCGCAACAATGAAGTTTTGTCGATGAATTATACGACATCGCGAACTTTATTGTTAGCGAAATTAACATATCCATTATACGTGAGCGCCAGATCAAAGTTTACTTAAGATATGTAAAATTTAATTTTTTGAAAAATCTGGCTTTTTTTCGATAAGCGTTAAGCGCAAGAAGCAACGAGAGACAAAGAAATTTAAAATAATCACCGATTTGAATAATCAGACTTATTCAGTTTCATGGAAATAAATTTTCCTTTCTCAATCTATTTGGCCTTCATGAAAACATAAAATGTTACATTTTGCAATTGCATTTGCGCAAGTTCCTTTTCTCTTTTTCTCTCTTTCTTTCTAAATAATGTCGATTTATTATTACACAGATAAAGGAAAGATTATTCTTTCGCAAGACAAACGTAGTCAGTAGTTGCTTCCGGTGCCAAGAAAAATCTCTGGCTACGCGATCGCCGTATCTCGCGAGATCGAACGAAATTTCAAACGCGGGACCGCCCCCCGTGACACACGTGGTCGCGGTTGATTTCCCTGGCAACCGAAGAGATAGAGCGACACAGGTGCATTAATTTTATCCCGCGGGCACATTTATATCTGCTGCGCCAGTGGCGTACTAACAGGCCAACAAGAACAGAAATATCTCCAAATTCTCCAAACATTGATTTTATCTCCAGTCTTGATCAGTCTTTCCCTTCATTAAAAAAAAATTATATTTTCTTTAGCGAACATTTTTCACATAATTTTCTTCTTTTATTATTAATCGTTCTCTTTCTCCACATACTAATTAAATTATTATTAATTTCTCTCTCTCTCTCTCTCTCTCCATATTTTAATTAAATTATTATTAATTTAATTAGTATTTAATTATTATTAATTTAATTAGTATGGAGAGAGAGAGAGAGAGAGAGAGAGAGAGAGAGAGAGAGAGAGAGAGAGAGAGAGAGAGAGAGAGAGAGAGAGAGAGAGAGAGAGAGAGAGAGAGAAATAAAGAGATGAAGATAAAACAATTTATTATTCCGCGGAGCAAACGCCGTTAGCGGAGCAAGATAATCAAGATCGATCCTTTGAAGTTTCCCTATTGACGGGGGTTGGGGAGAAGGGGTGACCCGAATGTTGGTTACGCTACTGCGCTGCATCCCGTTGCGAACTCCGTTGTATGTCTGTCGTTTTCCTGCAACGGTAGCGAAACCGCTCGAGAGATTAGCCCTTAGACATACGAGGGCTATCTTTTGGCGCGTTATTCATGAGCCGAGGGGATCAACGCGCATTTTGCAGTAATTTATTGCGGAATTCATTCCGCCTGAGATACACACACATACTTATACGTGGACCGCAAGAGGACACATACATGGGGTGCACGTATATCGACGTGCATCGATAGTGTTTTTTGGAGCGTCTTTAATAAATTACAGAAGGTAGAACTGAATTGAATTTATGCGAACTTTTCTTGCTCTTGTAATGCAAGCTTGCCAGAAAATAGTGATTATACACATTTGAAAGCTTGATAATAAAATGAGGCTCGAGACGTCTGTCTTGTTTCGTCTTTATCTACTGGGTGATCGAAATGCCAGCTCGCTCAGCGATTGACCTGCATCGTTGTAAAGACTGACAATTTTACTATGGATTAAGGATTATTTTACGAACCGATACAAATAATTCGACTTTGTTATATTATTACCGAATGAAATACTTCGACATTTTGACTCGTCCATCTTAACTCTTCTTAAAGTCTGATATTGTATTATAGTTACACGTTTCACTACGGAGCAATATAATCAAAATTTATCGTTCCTTAATGGAATTATCCTCTTGTTCTTCGGACAAGTTCTCCTGAGAAACTTCTAATAAAACCAACATGCCAACACGATCGTTCGTCGCTTCGATCCTGTTTGCAGATGATCGTCAGTTCACGCAGAGTCATAATAGTTTCCCGATGAAATTCATTTTAGACAAAAAATCACGCAAAAGAAAAACTTCGATCCTGACGCACACATATAATTAGAATGCAAAAGACTCGTTTCATGACTGCGTTGCAAGATTTTAGCTTCGATTTTTCGAGAGGCAAGCATTCTGATCGAAAGAGCCCCGCATATTTGTGTATGTTATATTAAAATGAAGGTACATCGAATTTTAAGAGAGCATAGTCTTGAAATATATTCCAAGAGTATAGTCTTGGAATATATTCTTACGAGGACGAATTTTATCATTGCACTTGTGTCACTGCATCGCGTTAATTATTCACGTAGACCATGCTCGGCATAAACATTACAAAGTATCCCGATAATATTCTCGATGGTTGAACATACTTTGAAGCATGCAACTTCTTAGGATCGAAAAAGTTGCATTTAACATCGTCAGTCAACGATTATGGACACGAGAAAAAGATATAAAAAAGATATACAAGAAGCTCGTATGCATAAATAAAAATAAAAATGCACGATATCATGTTTGTCGTGAAGCAAACGTGCTGATATAATTGTCCTTTCTTCGACTTAAAGTATGATGTAAGCGAAGCATACATGTAATATCGATGAAACAGCATTTCGGCGAAAAAAAGAAGTAATTTTATCCCGAAGTAAGCGCAAAGGATTTAATAGAGTCAGAATTTTCTGTAGTATTTATTACGTAAATTTTATCAACCACCTGTGGCATCGCTCGCGTGCTGTCGCGTAATAAATAATTTTTCACAAATGAACGCGAAATTTTACAATTATTTAACCCTCTATTTATTTGCATGCGCCGCTTGTTGTTTTTATTTTCCACTTTTTCATTAATTCTCGATTGCCCATTAATTTTTTATATTATTGATGATTATATTCACGTTTTATTCCACCGAACGAAATCAGATTGTCCTGTGCGTTTTGCACTCGTAAATTCGCTTATCTATTCAGAGATATAGAACGTCCGCACGTTCGCAAGAACATCGTTAACGTCGTTCAGACATCGCTCAGAAGACGTTTGTCGAGTTATCGAGAACGATGCTGAGAGAGGAAATTCGACACGACCATCGTTTCTAGAGCTAAACTATCGCATTGCAGGCTGATGGATCATGTTTAGCCACAACGACATGACATTGACTAAATATGTGTTCCGCATTTCATTTTCTGTGACAAAACGTCGCCGACGTATCACGACGAATTTCGGCAAATCCTTGTAAGCGTTAATTGATAAGGGTCGAGAGGATGCGGGGCCATTTGGAAACTTGTTGGATAGATGAGTTAATAAGTTAACCCTTAGGGAGACAGCTGAACACCTGTTTCTGATTTCAAATCAATTCGTATGCGATAAATAAAAGGGAAGAAAAAAAGGAAGGATAAGGTTTCCATAACATTGTCAAAATTAATTATTCCTAAATTAATCGAGAATCTCTGATAAACTTTTGATAACGATTTTGCGTGACATCTACGTGGATATTAATTTCGCGAAAGGTGATTAATGTATTGTACACCGTGTATATTAATTATTCATCAATCATTCTGTCGATTTATGTATTCATCTTATTTGAGTATATCTTTGAACTGAAAATAAACTATTTTTAAACATATATACATCTTGTTGTAGATTAATTTAGTCAAAAAGAGCAAATATATAGAATTCTTTAGAGACTTTTAATGTTAATTTTTAACTGTTAATTTTTCACAGGTTAAAAAGTTTTTGAATTTCAAATAATTAATATTCATGGAAATTAAATTTATGAAGAAATAAAATTTGTCAAATCATTTCTCCTTCAGATATTTAAATAGTGTTCACGCATATATAATATATAAAGAGATCTTTATATATTATGTGCGGAAGAGAGGACTCCTTACACAATTTTTAGTCGTTCAAATACGAGTTTCGAGAACGCTATAAGGCATCGCATACATTACTTTCTCTCTTACTTTGATTGAAATTGGTGAAAGCGCACTGGATTAGAAAGAGACCAGCTGACGCTGCAATTCACTGCAATCCGATGCAATAATCCGCGGAGCGACTAATGGAAGAGACAAGTCGCTGCGGAAAAAGCTCTTTTTCTCAGCCAACAAAGTGCGAACAGCGAATTCGCGAAGCGTGCATCATTGCGATTTTTTACCGATATGATTATCGTGCAGTTCTTTCGATCAGTTTCCGAATTAAGAATACGTTCGAGAAATTAATCAAAGAATTATAAATTAACGATGATTCACACACATCAGTCGACCATCATATCGATGACATCGTCACAATTTCATATCACCGAGTTGAAAATTCACTGCGTAGTTTTGCGAAATTTTACAAACAGTTTTCGATTCGTCGACGCTTCTCACTCGATGTCCAGAGTTTCAATTAAATTAAATCAAATTAAATCAACGACGACAATTCATTCACGATACTCGCTAATCATTACGTCCACAAATCACATCGTCAATCTTGACGTATCGCCAAATGCATTTCCCTTGTGTCACTTTAGTTACGGCATTAATTCTCTTAATTATAAAAATGATAGGAAACACAATCGAACGTTAACATAAGAATGTCACTGGCAATGATCGCGAACTTCGCGATTTCACGAAGCGTGATAACAAGTAAGATTCACAGACGATCGTTCTAGTGGCGTGCACGATTGCACCGATTTTGTATTTATTTCTTTTCCTTTTTTTTTTTTTAATTTCACGCAACTACGAGAATGGACGCGACGAAAAGCCACACCGCACCGTGCTAACAGTCGATCGCATATGCGAACGCATTAGTCGAAGGAGATAGATGGACGAGGGGGCAGCGTGCAGAGGCACGCAAAGGCGAGCGAGCCACGCCGAGTGCAACGTGACCGTCGGATCCGCGCGAGTCACGTGGTACCGCGGTCACGTTGCAGCCGCCGTGGCTGTCGAGAGTGCAACCTCTCGCTTTCCCCCCTCGAGTCTGCCCGAGGTCGTCGGTCGTTTTCTATTCCTCACTTCGTATTCTCTTATCTAAAATCCTCGAAGACGCGAGATACATATTTGGAGTCTCTCTAACGTATCTCCCCTCGCTGCCCCCGCTTCTCTGAACGAGAAGATATCTGAAATTGCAGATGAACTTTTGAAAAATTTCAGGCAATCCATCGATTATCCAAATATTTTTTGTTTCTTTCTTGAAGTGATTTGCCAGAACTCATATTTAGGAATGTATAGATATAAGCAACTTTTTTGTTTTTCGGATAATTACATATCGGCTTTAAAAATTTGTATTTTATTTTCTAGTTGTGCTTACATTGAAAAGTTGCGATGCATGATCTCTCGTATTTTCGTTAAAGCGAATCCAAATTCGCATTAGATGATCTATTTTTTTAAATGAGATCTTAATATTACATATATTTTTTAATAAATCTATTTCAGTAGACCTTTCAAGTTTCTTCTCAATGTTATGCATCTTTTTGTTGCTCGATGAATGATGTTAATATATTTTGCGTAATTACTTGTACTTATCGATGTAAAGCACCGGATTATAGAACGAAGTTGTTATTGATTTCACTTGCGTAACAAATTTGTGTTTGATTAAAATAGGCTTCGTATATTAAATGAAATATGAATTTAACTATTCATAGCGCGACTCATCGATCTAACAATTTATTGCGTGATTCATTGAAAATTTGCCGTTCTCTTCTTTTTTAATTGCAGAGGCAACAATACTGTTCTCTAAATTAATTATAATTTAATTATAATGATAAAAATAAATAAGAATAAATTTATCTAAAATTTTAAAGTTTTTTTATACAAATAATTATCTAAAAATATTCAAATATACATGTATTGTATTCCGTTATCATTACATATCTTGAGTTAGTTAAGCATTACTTCTACATTTCATGCATTTAATATTTGCAATTTAAAATTTAAGAAATATATCATTAACTGTATGGTTAATTAAAAAAGTGTATAAAAAAGTGTATAAAGGTAAAAAATTCCTCTACGATTTCAAATATATACACATGATCTTTTAATTATTTCAAAGTTAAAAAATTGTACTTCATATTGAAAAATAAAGATAAAAAACATTATGACATACATGTATATTGGAAATTACACATTAATTTTATGGAAAATATTTAAAATATATAATATCTAAATATGTATAATTTTATATATATGTAAAACACAACATTATCTATAAATATCTCTTCTTGGTGAAGAACAAAAAAGTATATTCACAAAAAATTGATTCAGAACTTTTTATCTTTGCATAAATTTTTCAGAATATGTTCATGATCAGTAATAGATTGATTATGAAATAAAATTCAATCGCATATCGATTCGCGAACTATTATTTTCTATATATCTGTTGCCCTATATGTACTTTTAGAAATAATTACATCTCGTCTAAAAGTGAACAAGTTTGTAAAGCAATAGTCTCAAGATGATTACATTGCACAGACAGAATGATGATGAATCTCACGATATCGTTCGATAATTATTGGGCGTATCTAGGAGAAATATAATCAAATTACGAGAACAATGTTGGATTCGCGCAATTATTTACAAACAGAGTCTATATAATTCGCGCGAAGATATCAGACGTAATGAAGTTCATGGAGAAATAATATGGGACGGAACATAATGCGCGAACATTAGTTTGCTATTTCGCGACGATGACGCAACAAGAGTTAGCGCAAGCTATCGCAATTGTTGCTCTGGCCAGTTATTACGAGAAAATTACATATCTTTCTGTTTCTTTCAGGCGATTCTGTTTCAAGTTTATTTTTTGTTCTTTATCGGTGAAAGTGATAATGAAATTATTATTTGCTATTAGATACGGAACAGTTACACAGTAATACTAGAATTATCTTCTTCTTCTTCATACATTTTTTTTTTACTTTATAATACTAGATTACAAAGTCTCACACATTATCAAAAGACGCGTGACATAATCTCTAAAAAAAAAAAAATATTTTTATAAGAAATACTATACATAAGAAACACTATCACATATTTGGATTCTCAAAATGATTGCTTCTATTATCAAAAATATTTGGTAAATTATCTATTTATTTTTAAAAATCATAAATTATTTAAAGAGAGCGAGATAATACTTTACTCACACAAATTAAAATTGTAATAGGAAGTATTAATAACAAAAATAAATATTGAATTTTTGAAAATACAATTTCGCACGGTTGCTTCGAATATTGCATAACTTACACTCCTTATGCTTATTTCATGTATCATAGATAGATTCTCTTCAATGTTGCAAAGATATTGTTGTAACTTGCTACGATTCATTGCATAAGAAAGAATTTACCTCAGCGATATCCTTGACCGAAATTATGCATATTTTAATTGAAGTTTTTATCGCATACAAGATAAGCGAAAATTATGATATACACACATATGCACACGTATATTATAATTTTTGCAGAATCATATATATGGCTTTAATTTTTGCAAAGATAATATTAATGTAAATAACTTTTCCGTAACAAAAGATCATTAAATCTGTCATCTCATAAGAAATTTTAGTTAAAAAAATGTTATTAAAATATATTCTATTTATATCCTTATTGCACTTATATAAAAAGTTGTTTAATTATTTCAAAAAAGATTAATGACAAATCGTAATCGATAATACTTTCCATTTTTTCACATAGAAGCGGAAAATGTCTCATTTGCATATTGCAAATAGACACAAGAGAGAGAAAGAGAGATAACTCTTAGAATAATTACAGTCCTATTTATTTGTTTTCACATATAAAACAAGAACGTATCAAGAAGAACGGATGGTACGATTGCGATTTTGCGAAGGCTTCCCGTTGCTCTTGCTACATCTTTTATCGCGAAATCACACACTCACACACACACACACTATATATATATATATATATATATATATATGCATGTATGTGTGTGATATGTGTGTTGTGTGTGACATAATATAAAAATGACTCTTCCTAAAAATCCATAATGAGTATCTCCGTTTCGTCCGGAGTTATAGAATACGCTTGCTTTAATCTCTCGATGCTCTCTACTTATTTATTATCAATACGTAATAATATTCGACACTATCCTGTAGAAGTCGCTCTCTATAACTAAATATCTTCTCTATACATTTTCTATGCTTTAATTTCATATATAAATTTCATGCGCTTTTTTTACATTATATATTCTCATTAGATTAGTTTATAACATAGTGATTCTGTAACCATATTCATCTCCTTTTCGCAACCATTCATATATGCATTATACACATTAAACGTATTCATGCAAAATACGCTATATATTTATACTTAAAATTTATATAGAGGAAAAAAAATAATTGAAAGACTATCTCTGCGACAAGCAGAGAATAACGAACGTTTCGTGCACATTTTCCTTTTAACAACGAATACAATATTCCAATATACGAATATTCCAATTAAATAAACTGACGAATAGAAAAAAATATGGAAGGCGAGAGCGATAAAAACACATTCTCTCACCGCAATCGTTTTATGCGTCCCTTTGTTGCTCCCCGCTTATTCCGAGCTAACGAGGAAACTTTCGGAAGCCTCTTCGAGTTTTGCAAGCTCCTCGCGAATTTGTCGTAGACCAAGAAATGAAAGACCATCATCTCTTTTATTTTTTAACTGGCCTAGGGAAAAAAATATCCGAGTTAATTAAAGCCGTTTCGCCTTCGAAGTCTTAGATGGTTAGGGAGATATCCGAATAGTTTCCTCGTCATCATCTGCGCTTGTATTGTATTATTTTTTATATAAAGATATCTGCTATGATTTAAAAATCTCTCTTCTATCGTGACAATTAAAATGAGGGAATTATGATTACAATGCAATCGTTCCTCGTTGTTTTGCTAACTCAACGGAAAACATTCTTGCGATTTATGATCGAAATAATATAACAACGATATTATTAAATTGTAAAAGATTCTTCTCTGAATCGGGTTACGATGATGAATAACGAACAATTCCAATTATTTCCATTCAGAAAATCTCACAGAAATAATTTTAGAAATAAAACCAGCATATAATAGCGCATGTCGATGAAAAAAACGAGGCTCATCGCACGCTGCAGAATATATGGCTTAAATTGGGGCTGTCGAAAATAGTCGTTCTTACAAGTACGGGCTCTGCCTAGAATAAACAATATTAAGATAAAGGCTAAGTATATATAATTTCCGGATGTAGAATACTGCGTATCACAAATAACAGGAGCGTGAAAAAACGAGGACCCGAATTTATCATTCGATAATTAGCCAATTATTAAAAAAAAAAAAAATATATATATATATATATATATACATATATACATACATATGTGTGTGTGTATGTATGTAGAAACATATATAATAATTAGGGCGAGAAAGAATTTTAATTTATCGGAAACGGAACTCCATTGAAGGAACTATATTTCTCGATAACTCTGCATTCGTCGAGTCCCGACGCGAAATCCGTCCGCGCGCGCGAGATGTATATATAAATCTCTTAATATAACGCTTAATATATAACAATTTATTCGATAATTGCGGTATGATAATCAAGGCCGTCGAAGCTGACAGTAGACAAGTGCGCATATCAAGCGCATATCTTAAGAAACATATAATTCCTCTTTTAACGCTATACACAATTATATTCGTTAAATAATCTGCCTTTCTCGATGATGATATCGATATACAAATGTCATATAACAAATGCTATACATTATAGTAGCTTGCGTGAATATTGGCTAAAGATAACTAAAGTGAGTTTTAGAGTTCCGGTCTCTTAGTTCTGTACTTGGAAAGAAATGTGAATTCAGTCAAATTTCACTTAACTTTAACTAGTAATTTATGTCCACGGAAACAATAGATATAGAAATATAAATATATGTTATCTCGTGATATAGTAACTCCCGATAGAAAGTTCTTATTAATAACTTTATAAATCGCGTAATGATAAAAGCTAGCGCTCTGTTAGTCCTCGATCCAGCGATACACATCGCGGCAATTGTTATTCCGTGTCTTGGTTATTTTCTACTGAAAGCGAAGAAAATGATCAAGGATACCAGCTGTCGACGTATAATCGAACTTTCAAGAAAAAAGCTGATTAACTTGCGTATCTCTAATAATTGTTATGGACTGTTGCAATAAGTAGCGACTTAAGCCTAAATGGAGAAGCTCTCTTAAAAAATAATTGTAATCATTGTATAAAATTACACTTTTTCAATCTCGTGCGCATATTTCATCATCAAAATTACGGACAGATGTATTCCTCATTCTTCTCACTCATCACCAGATTTAACACATTTTTTCGTTCGCATATTGTCATTCTTCGTTTTGATTGTATTTCATTTTATCAAGAGGACTAATAAAAATAGAGATACGAGATGCGTTCCGAAAACTTCTGTGACTTTCATCTTAAAAGAATTCTTTTTCACGGAAGATTTCTATCGAACAAAACTTGTTAAAATTTCGGTCAATTGTTTCGGGAACGTATTGCATATGAGCATAAGTCGCATTTCCTATCGCTATTTTAAAAACGTGCACGATTGATTACGTTAGGAACAAAAACGGCACGTAGGCGCGCATTAACGTTCCATAAAGTGGACACCAAAAAACGACATTGTAACAATCTAAAGATTTGCATTTATACGCTGCGCATTTATACTCTCGCATTGTTATCCAGGTACACATTCGACATGACGCAAACGATCTCTCGTAAAATACATAAGACACTATACAAAGTCGCAAAAAGTTATAATCGAACTCCAACTTTCCTTTATATGTATGGCTTATAGGAACATCCAGCTGTGCGGAGGATTTTCGTGCGCATATGAAATGCGATTATCGCGCACGCGTCTCGTCTTCGCGCGCGTTTGCTGCGATTTTCACGCATTTCGATGGCCTGCCCCGTTTCCTCTTAGCTGTGGTATTCACGGTTCGACCGACGGTTGATTTGCGTTTGCCGTTCGTTTTACAGACTGTTCCGGTCACGTCGGTCTCAATACTTCTCTCATTCTCAGTAGCCTTCCTCGTACGTCTAGGACGCCCGGCTATTCGCTCCATTTCATCGAATTGCGCTTGCAAGCGACGAGCCAGTTCAAAATCCTCTTGCTCCTGTAACAGCAATCGTTCTATCCGTTGCTGCTCCTCGATCGCTTCTTTGTCCGAGAACAGCTCGTTGACGCAAGTTCCGACGTGGTTGTTCTCCGGAACGCATTCCTCCGTCTCGTCGGAAGATTCTGGTGGTGAATCGTAATTAAATCTGCTGTTAGTCTTGTTGCGTTCTCCATCCGATACGTGATCGCTCGATTTAGAGACTTTCGTCAAGTTTCGTGTAGACTTCCTCAGACTCGCTTTACCACTCGCGTCTGAAGGAAACTCGTTTTGCTCCCGATCCTCTGTATTGTTTTGAGAAGTCCTGTTGATTTTCCTCCGTTTCGTTCTCCTCGGCTCAGAGTATTCAATATTCGCTTTCGCATTGTTTTCGAACGTCGAGAACGAGACGTGATTCGTCGCAGGACTCTCGTCTCTCCTTTCAGATAATGTTTTCTTCTTTACTGTTCTGCTTCTTGTAGATGTATTGGGTTCAGTTTTTGAATTCGATGTTTCTTTTTCCATCTTTTCTTTTCTTCTTTTAATACGTTCCGCTATATTTTCGATCGCCATGTCATTGCGATCACCGTTTTGTTCATCATTTTGCGGATTTATTTTATCGACTGAATTTACCGGATCGTCTTCTTCTTCGTCTATCACGTTCGAAGTAAGTCCAGCTACCTTTTTACTACTTCGAAGATTTCTATTCTGCTTAGATTTCACTATCATACCATTTCTCACGCGCGTCCTCCAAGACTTACGAGTTTCTCTCGTATCTGATGCCTCGTCCAATGACAACTTCTTGCTTGTCTTAAGGCCATTAACTATTTTGTTTGGATTTTTCGTATAATTTTTGTTGCTGTCGAATGATGGTTCGGGCACAAAATCGAGTCGGCGAATAACGTCGTTTGTATGAGGCTTCGTCATTAATTTATTTGAGACCGTTTGAGAATAGTCGAGTGATGTCGACGGTTGCTCATCGATCAGCATCTTTGTATTTTCTAGATTGTGCACAGCTTGCTTTTCTTTTGCGTCCTGCCTTATTCTACCTGTAGAATAGAATTATTAAATGGTTAAATTAAGAAAACTATATCTGCATAGTTTTAATTAAATAATTATTTAAACACATAAATAATATTTTTACGTGCATTTTTATAATTTACCTTTGAAGGCGCTCCAAGAACATCCAATTATACGTTTCATGTGCGTAGGCGATGGAGGTTTTGGCACTACATTAGATACTTTCTTTAAAACAGGGATCACTCTAATCAATTTCGGATCTATCTGTTTCCCATCTGAGAGCAAAAATACAGAATATAAAAATTACCTATTATTAAAGAAATATTCTATATAAAAATTTATGAAAAAAATAGATACTACAATTTCTCTCTCTCTTTCTCTCTCTCTCTCTCTCTCTCTCCCCTCTCTCTCTTTCTTTTTCTCTTATACATACCTGAAGAAATTTTTAATTTTGTCCTTGGTACCGTTTTGATCGGCTTGAAATGATGAATCTCTTGATTTATGCTGTCATGACTGCCCGAACTTTCGGCACTCCCTATTCTTTCATCGTCTTCGACCAGTGTCATACACACTTCTATTCCTAAATTCTTCTTTTTGCTGTTTACCACATCGCTTGGTACACGCAACTCTTCTTTAGTTTCTGTTATGTAAGCTTTGGACGTGGAACATCCGGGATCCGTGGGATAATTCGAAGTACAAGGTTGAGTGAATTTGGACACTGTTTGATGTTTCAATGTCTTTGTGACAACATTGTACACAGGTATTTGTTTCTGACAACAATATTTAACTGAAACTTTATGCATATTAGATGCATTTGCCTCATTAGAGCCATATATATTGGAACATATTGTCTCGATTTTAGATAACAATGTCGTATTCATTTGTCTCGTTTTTGAGCTATCATTGACAGACTCGGGAAGACTCATCTGCCTGCCTTCCAAGTATACGGCTTCGGTTTGTGGCGTTTCGACATTATTTACAAGCGTAGTTTTAGTGTTAAATCTCGACGCATCGAGAACGTAATTCGATACTGATGTATTTAAACATTGATTGTAACACTTTGTAGCTTCCTTGTGCTTCTTCACAACCTGCTGCTTTGCCAAAGTTTTGGCCAGCAATTGATCCTGTGCCAATTGAGCTAGCAACAGCTGTTGCTCCTCTGCCTGAAGTTTTTGTATCAATGCTTCGCTGGCTATCTGTTCGGCTTGTCTCTGGCGACGCATCTCTTCCTCGGCCATTTGAAGTTGCGCCTCGTATTCTCTATGTATTTCTCCAGCTGCGCTGAGTATTCTTTTTGTCGCATAATCTATGTCAAAGGAAAATAACTCTTCTTTATACTTGTAACAAAATCACTTGACGTACAAAGTGTCATATATTTTATAATAACTTTACATTCAAACAATGAATAGTTTTGAAGAATTATAGTCGTTAATGTTTATTAATAATTATCAAATCAACTAAGATTTAGAAAATTGAGAAAAATGACATCGCACACACATAAAGATACACAATAACGTCAAAGGCATCGGGAGGATTATATAATCCGTACAAATTATCCCGAAGAAAAATATACAAAGTGTCGGTAGGAAATAAAAGTGAAATATTCAGCGCCATTTCGACAATAGGTTATGTTACATTTGTTTATTGCTGCGACGCGGGCAAGTGTGTGTACGTTGTAAGTGATATATGTGTATGTATGAGCGTGTGCGTCACTCACCAGCGTCCAAGCTGAGATCCCCCTCCTCGCCATTATGCTTGTTCTCGACCTCCTTCGGGAACTTGGTCCTGATGAGCTCCCAGAGGCCGTGGTTCACCAGGGTCTCCGACTTGGTCGCGTTTCGCAGCCAGGAGCCCACCCGGACCCGGCACAGGGGACAGCTCAGACTGTTGTGTTCGAACGTACCCTTAAGACAGCGCAGGCAGAGGTTATGTGTGCACGGCAGCGTCACTGGCTCGATTAATATCCCACGGCACACCGGGCACATCAGATCACGCAGATGCACATCCGCGGTGGTCCGCGACGACAGATCCAACAATTTGGACGTACGCTTCAGATACATCTTCCCATATCTTCTCCGCGACTACGGCTACTGCACTGGGAACAGCTACACTGTTGGTGTCACCGTCGCGACGTCTTCGCTTCGTGTGTGATTCGCGATTCCGTCGTTCCGCGCGCCGCGGAACGCGTGGATCCGGACTGGTAAAGCAGGGAGCGAGATGTCCTCGACCACATTCCTTCCCTCTTATAAAGAGAATATTTTTGTACCGTCGCGTATATACACAAGTCAAAAAACGAAAAATTCGATATTCTTTTGGATTTTGGGTTAAATGGGATTTAAAATTTAATATTCGTATAAAGTTTTCAATTATATATAGGTTCTTACTATAAATAATTAGAAATTAATATTGATGTGCTTTTGGAGTTTTTTCAACTTTTTCTCCTCTATTTAAATTTAATTCCATTCTATTATTTAATTAATAATAAATAGATTTATAATAATAAATTAATAATAATAGATTTACATGTAATAAAATTATTGATATCTTATATGTACGTCATTATTGATGTAGTTTATAAATATATTTATATTAGTAATTATTTTAAAGATATATGTGGAAAAGATATACATTCAATTTGTAATCAATTAATACAATCATTATTTAACACAAGATAGTTAACAATAATTTCAAAATATTCGTCACTAATGTATATGAATGAAAATGTATCTTTCCAAGAGCTATTTGTTTATTTTTTTACATTTTTCTTTTTTTTGTAATAATAATTTCGAAGAAATATAATCTTGTTAAAACACATACAATATTAAAAAAATAAGATCTCTTTTTACTGGTATATATATTAAAAAAATAGTAAAGTTGTATTTAAATGTAACAATATAATTTCATAATAAGATATGTATATTTTTACGACATGATTCTTATAAGACTTTATGGTCCATAATATTATTTCATGCAATATTTTCTTATAACTTATTACTAGTATAATAAATTTATTTCTATTATATATATATATATATATATATATATATATATATATAATATATATAATATATATAATATATATAATATATATATATAATATATATAATATATATGTATATATATATATATATGTGTATATATATATATATATATATATATATATATATATATCACTTGCATTATAATTTAGAAATAATCCAGGACAGAGCCAGACCAGTCCAAGTTGCTTATCATCTAGATGAAGCTTTCAGAGTCTGTTTTATTTCTTTTATTTCTTCTCCATCTCATTCAGTAAGATGGTGGAGAAAAAATTTGAAAGTAAAAACTTGGATAAGTCTATTCCAACTGATTAATTCTGAATATACGAAGAAAAACAATGCACAACAAAGAGAATCTATCAAGAATTTTAAATAATACAGATGAAGAAATTGCAAAAATTTGTTTTAATTTATAAATAGTTCGCGTTAATATATTTAGAAAATATGTAAAAATGCGCGCATAAAAAGACAACATATTAACATGCACATTAATATTTTATGATTCTATCTGAATGCAATTTTTATCTACAATTCATATAAAACCGAAAACGATTATTTACGAATAAAAATATCCGTCTATTATAGCATATCACGCACATTTAAACTCTTTTATAAAATATTTAAAATTCGTTTATACGATTTATCGACTACATAAGCCTAATAATATCGGATAAATTTGCATTCTGCGCGACATAACTTTGAGTCAGTAGCACTATGGAAGTTTCACACTTTTGTATTACAAGAAACGATGCATTTTTGTGCATTTTTGTGTCACATCCTAGTTGAACATTCTGACTTAGGACATATAAATTGTAAAATTGAATATTTATTTGATCAGCCTTATCGCGGTGATTCTTATTTGTTAATTCGTCTATTTTTTTGCCGAGGGACGATTTCTTAGATTTTTCTTCGTCGCCTGATCTACTTCCGGGAGATCGTCATCTTCCGATAAGGCGGATTTCTTACCTGCAAACATACACATGTTTTAATTTCATAAAATAAAAAAATGTTGACAATTTATATAGATAAATAAAGTGTAAAATGATAATAAAGATTTAAATAAAATGAGCTCTCACCTTCTCGCTTTCTCAACTTTTGTTTCGGCTTGGTTTTAACGACAACGGGCGCGGCGTTCTCGCGCGCACGCTTAATTTGCTTCGCGATGAAGTAGTACAAGAGATAAGCTTGGAAGAGCGAAATAACAGATACTGCCGAAAATTGCACGGCTGGAACATTGAAGTTGCCGGTATCATAGTCGAAATTGAATTCTAATTTTCTCAAACCATACAGAAACACCACAAGCGTAAGCACGATGGTTGCGAGCCTTGCGAATACATATGTCGAATTAGCGACGAGGAATGATACTGTAAACATCATATAAATATATTCAGTTATTATATATTCACATTATACAAAGATAATAGTTCAATTATTAGCAAAGGTAACTTACATTTTGTTCTTTTTTCTTTTTGACTAATAAAATGAACTAATCTGGCTCCATGTAACAATGCATCTCCCACATAATGGAGAGTTAACAAGATTATTGCTAATTGTTGGAAGCTGCAGAAAAATAAATTTATTACAAACTAACGAACAAATTTGAGAACAAGAAATATGCAATTATTATAATAATTACTTAAAGAAATAAGCTGCAGATGTGAAGAATAATCCAATGGTTGCATGGAGAATGCGTTGCGGGATGTCCTCTTTCTTGATTCGTTGGAAGTATAGCTCGGGGTAACAATGTAACCAATAAGCAAGTTGTCCGATAAAGAATAATTTCAAGGAGAAGGACATTGGTGCCGGATATTCTTCCCATAATGCCCATATGTTTAAAAGCATATTTTCCCTAAACAAAAAACATGCTTTTAATATTTATGTTCAAAGGAATTATTATTAAATATTATAATTTATAAGATATAAAAATTCTCTTTATAATTAAAATTTATACTACCTAATGATAATATCAATAGCCCATAATGCAGATAATGTATAAAATACTATCAATTGGCTGGACTCGTTGAACTTAGAAAGCTTGACTTTGCTGAGGTGAAGGCGTTTGGAAATTTTCTGCAAAGAAAAATAAGTTAGCTTAGTAACAAAATTAAATATATTTTTATAATTAATATATTTCATATTCGACAGATATACTTACATCAAATATATATTCCTGAAGCACAGCATGCATTATAATAGTTATCAAGAAGTAAAAGAATACTGCGCAGGCATCTTTCCATCCTGTAGCATACTTTATCATTGCTGTTGGATCTTCAGTAGTATTAGTCACATTATGATGAATAGCAATAAACATGTATGCCCATGGTGAAGTAACCTGAGGGAAAATAATTAAGTTAGATAAATTCATTTATATAACAAAAATAACAGAGTTATGGAAAAATATATTTCTAAGAATAATTTGGTAAGTCATTCTGGTAAAACATATTTTAATAATAATCTTTTTCTTCAAGATTAATATAAAACTTCTAAAATAACTTTTGGCACAATAATACAGTTATAAATATAACAATGATAATCTTCATATATATCATGATTAATATATTTTTGAAATAGTATCTAGAAAATGATAAATTAGAATACTTTCATAGCAGCATAAAATTGACAAATCTTATAAACAGATGTATGTTAGAGTATCCAGCAGTCTCAATTAACATCGACAATCTCTAACATATGGTCATTCTACCTGTCAAGTTTCCTCAAATTTTTCTAACATAATTTTTCTAATGCAAGATACAGAAAGACAGAACTTGCGAATAATTCGTACAAATACAATTCATTTTCCAAATCGTTTCACTCGAGTGGAGCAGCCACGCAACATCCACAAAGAAAACTGACAGAAACCGACCTGCACCATCAAGCCGATCACGAAGACCATAGCCACGCAGGAGACGATGTCCGCATGATTTTGTATGACAAACTCATGGCTGAATATCGGCGGATTCTTATTCGAGCTCTTGCGTCCCTTCACCGCGACCATCTTGGCCCAGACGAGCGTATGTTCACTGCACGGCGAACGCGGCACGACAGAACGGACCTCGAGAGCCTCGCCGCGGAAACCGGGCCACGCCGCTCACCGTGGAAACGTCACGCGCGCGGCGGCCAACGCTGAGCGATGTGGCGCTCGCATCTCTAACCTGTTGGCACCGCGCTAGTCACGTTGACGATTGTATATCCCCGGGAGTTTCACTTCCGGCCATCGCGAGAGAACGCGAAAAATTGCGTTTATTTCGACAAATTATTTAATTATATGATTTAATTATATATTTAATTATAATTTAATTATATATTGGAGTTGCAACTGGTCGGACAGATTTACGGAAGAATTATGATTCCGCAGGAATTATGATTCCGATTTGGACGCTAGCTTGACTTTTAGCGCGACGTATCTCGCGCGAATTCGAACTAGAAGCGAAATCTCGTGTGTATGATGATAGATTATTGCAAATGAATTAAAGTTGTAAAGTCCGAGAGAAAAATTGTGCTCGATAATTTCGATACTTTAGCGAAAAATGATGCACTAACATGCGCGCATAATTTATAATTTTTATTCTTGTCACTTCGATTTGCTTGAAATAATGAAGAAGGAAAAAGCGAAAAATACGCGCTTCAATGATAGGCTAAAAGCCTATCATCAATTATCATGCAGTTATGCGGTTACTGAAAGTTGTTTAATCATTAATTATAATGATTATAGCAAAATATTTGTAGATATTTCGAAAGAAAGTTTGACATTGTATAGAATATCTAGCATCATTATCTTTTTTCTCGCTCGAGAGACAAGACGACCACGCATTTTAACAATAATTTACCGCGAAAAATTATGCAGAAAATCAATCATACTATATGAAAATTAATTTAATTATCGTTCTAAAATATTCCATATATTCTAATATAAATTTAGACTAAATATTTCTTCTGCCTTTTTTTTAATTTGAAATTCGATAATCGAGCAACATCTAGAAAAAATTTAAACATATAATTTATTATATGTTTATTTAAAACATATAATTTATCTTGTTGATTGAAAAATTATTTTTTTTATGTAAATTAATTTGATATTATTATTTTCAGCTAAATTTCTATATTGCGAGAATTTATTTCTTTCCTAAATTTATGATTTTTTAATAAATAATATATGGCATAAAAGGAAATAAATAACACAAGGATAAAGTGCATTTTGTAATATTTTAATCTAGAAAAAGAGAGTTTAAATTATTGTTACAATTAGTATCTCAATCTTTAGAAATCGCTATACAATTTACAAACGCAAGTGTTTAAAATAACAATAAATTTAATGAGAGACATATCAAGAATATAAATATATTTCGTACATATATTTTGTACACGTTACATTTATAAAAAAATTAAGTATAAATATTTAAAAAAGAAAAACAGAAATACATACTATAATTCACATACTGCAGTCAATTGGATAATTCTACATCTATATTGGAAATAATTTGTTATGGTAATTTACTACACTTGTTTGCAACGAGATGTTATCTTACAATATTTTGTAACATAAAAAAATAATAAAAATAATTTCTGTGCTATGCATCTTCTATAATAATAATATATTATGCATGTTTTATATATATATATATTTTTTTTAAGAATGTATATAAATAGTTTTTTCTCCCATTTTTTTAATTATTATTAAAGATAATTAGATTATCACAATTAGTTTCAAAATATTCTATTAGTATAATATACTATTAATATATTTAAGTCAAATATTTATAAATTGAGACGTGCACGTACTTCATCATAAAGTTTTCAAAATTTTTTAAAATTTAAATTGAGTTTAAAGTTAAAAATTTTTTTTAATTTTAAAAAATATGTCCAAGGCTTTTTTTATTCCATCAAATCTTTACATTACTGAATTTTATTTAATTTAATTTAACACAAAAGAAAGTTTTTAAAAATACTAAAAATACTTAAAAAAACATCAGAAACTTGTCGATAAGATATAGAGATGCAATCTTAAATGTTTCTCGTATACTCATTATTTGTTAACGCGCACTCGTCGCACCATAGGAACATCATATACCAAGTTGAAGAAAGCATTTGCTATATGAGCGAATGTTCTGGCCCACGCAGTGATTTTATAATTAATTTCTTTTAATATATTTAAAAACAACGGCTGCGTGTTTTCTTCTAACGGAGCTTCTTTTCTGAAAAATAAATATATGTTGAAAACAAGAGTGCAATTTAAAAAATTGTAAACTAATTTGATTTCTTCAATTTATTTATAACAAGGAGAATTTTTATCTATTTTTTAAATTAGTTGAATATAATAAAAATCAAGAATTTGATATTAATATAAACCATATTAAACTAATTTGCATCAAAACGTATCCTTTTTGCATAAATAATAATATACAATTGTAAAATGATTTATGTAATGTAGGTATTCACCTATCACTATCCAATTGCTCCTTCGTTTGATTAGTGTAAGTATACATGTAGCACGCTGGATAGGAACTCGTAGTCTTTATTCGATGAAACATTCCTGTTTTCACGGGAATCGATTTTTCTTTCGGCACAATAATTGCATTCGCTGATTCTTCCTCGTCATAAGTTACTTCGCCCTCTAACACAGTCAGGGAGACGTTCGCAAAATCAGTAGATATATAATTTTCCAAGTACATTTCTGGAAAATCAGCTACAAATAATACATCCGTGTAATTTGACCAGGTGTATACGTGCTGCTGAATTTCCTCCAGTTTATATCTGACATAAAGAAGTAATGTTAATCTTTATTTATTTTCCTAGTTAACCAATTATTTTTATAGCTAATTAATTATTAATAATCTTACAATTATATTATTCTATCCTTTAAAATTAATTCTCTTCCGGTATGTTTTTGATTCCGCGAAAATACATTATAATTAATAGAATTTTAATGATCTTTTTCTCTCTCTCTCATATAAAAATAAACCTACCGGTACGAATTATACTGCGTGATTAATGGCATCAGGAATGAAACAGGTTTAAAAGGATGCCAATCAACCGTCAACATATCGATGTTTGGATCAAATATTCTTTGTTGAAATCTACCGTTTAGTGAACACCACGCGTCCATGTAAATACTTAAATTTGAAGATAGTCTCATCCATTTTTCCTTATCCTCAACTCGGTAATGAGTACTCAACGTTTCCTCTTTTCGACGCATCAGATTATCCTGAAGTTATATGAAACAGAAATATATATAATAATATTTTATTAAGACAGGCAACGTTTTATATAAAAAAATGAGATTTAAGAAAGTCAAAAATATTAGACAATGTTATAAGTGTTTATTGTGATGTTTTCAATACCTTTAAACATTGCGAATATTGGATCGCCATATCTCCGTGTCTCACCCATCGATCTCCTTGGACCCATGCTTCAGGATTTAAATATCGAACTTCGTTATTCACGTTATCGTGCACTTTAATTACTACCAATATAGTATCCCAGGCATGGATCATCATATCCCAAGAATAACCATATAAACCAGGTACCCAATTGTTGTAACCCTAAAATATAAAATATTTTACATAGTCATTAAAATATATATTATATAAAAATTTATTTAAATTTAAAAAAAATTATTTTGTTTTAAAATTTAGTGAAACTAATCCAAATGTATGTATAAAATATAATTTTAAAATAATTATTATTTTTAAACGATGTTAATGTAATAATATTAATATTAATAATTTTGGTACCTTTGATATAAAATGCGAATATGGTAAGAAAAATTGTAGTACAATATGGCACAACAGTGTGAACACTACAAATTTTTGTTTTCTTGTAGCTTTTGGTGATTGTTGACCTCCCCGAAGTTTTTTACAAATATTTGTTGCTTCTTTTTCGTCGGATTCAATCAAATTTTTAGATGATTGCGTATCGTTATCTTTTTTGTCTACTTTTTTATTAAATTCTGATTTAGTAAAATAATTTTCGTCTACCTTTTTCCTCATTCTTTCCTCTGGAAGTGTAAATATTAGAATTTACGTTAAAATATAATTATAAAGATGATTGTTCACAATTTACCTTTATGCATCGTTTTATACTGTGAAATTTTATTTGAAGGCAACGCAGAACAATCGGAACTTAGAGATTCTTTTATTTGACTATCAGTCTCTTTTATGCTATTTACGTTTAAATTTACATCACTCAATAAAATCTGTTGTTTCCAGCTAAAATAATGTGTTAATCTACGTGGCCAGTCCGCGCTACAAAATAGCGACATTGTCGCTAGACACACATACGGAAACATACCTGGAAAAAATCTTTTTTATTCTTTATATAATATCAAAAGGATTCTGATTATGCTTGTTACGCTTTATTAATATTTTATAAAAAAATATTATTATATAAAAATAATGATAGTTACCTATACTAAATAGCCTTGAGTTCATTAAGTGAAAAGCAGCGCAGAATATCATGGCTGGGATTCGTGTTTTTTCAAGTAGCATCCAAAATCCGACGGACAGATCAAAGATAAAGGTGAACCAGTGGACGATTAGAAAGTCAATTTGTTCGGTTGTTAAAACTATTCTGAAAAAAATTGTTTCTTTTCTAGATATATCTGTTTGTCAGAAAATAATTCTTATTTCTTATACGCGTTGTGCTTTTCGTTTGTTACAATATTTGATGTAGTTCTTTATCTCGTTTCGAATAATACTCACTTGAATGGTTGAAATACCCAGTGTCTGGACAGATTTATCATAGCGTAACCTTCGAGCCATTCTCTGCCGGATTTCTTCAAACCGGCCAAGAAGTAAAGGGCGAAAAATTGAAATTTTAAGATGAAGTAATTCCAATATGGCACGGAATTGCCATTTCGTTTGGCGTTATTTGCATCCAATGCGCTACGAGATATTGATATATTAATTTTCGATTAATTAGTGGTTAATGAAAATTACAAGAAATAATAATATGACTTACAAATACTTATTTGCTTCCGTTCCCCAGATTAAGGTCGCTACAATGCCGTAAAGATAAGTATGATTGTTCCAATAACCCTTGTCCAGTATAAAGATGTACCAGTAGGGCAACACAAAACAGGCACATGCGATCTTAAAGTGCAGACCGAGAGCGATTCCAAAGGCACCCATCCACATCACCGTGTATATCATTATCATCCATGGAAGCGATGGCGCTTTCATCCCATGGATCAATGGGAAATGACAGTCCCATGGATCGCCCCATTTTATATCGATGTCTGCGAATCCTCTCTCCTCAACAATGTCTATTATCATGCACAATCCTAAAATTATGTGACTTGTCATTGGATTTTCAGTTTATAACATAAAAATGATAAAATAAGCTGAAAAAGTTGAGAGCTTTTAATAAGATAATTTAATAAATTATTGTTTTTTTATATAATGTTAGACGATATCTCGAAAATTATTAAAATAAAAATGTGCCAATAAAAAATGTATTTTATACAGGCGACATACAATCACGATTATGTTTCTATTGGATCAAACCTCATTAATCCTCACTGCTTTAATAGGTCTTAAATTATGCTTAATTCCTGTGATTCAAATTCTTTGCTTAAAGTGCTAAAGTAAGATTAATGATATATCATTAATATAATAAAATATAAATTATAATGATTATCATGATTACAATTAAAACGAATAACCCATTAATCATTTTTTAATTATTATTGAGCTTTAAGAATTAAGATATGAAAAATATTTTACAATTATATTAAATTTTGCAATAGATAAATGTAATAAAAAAAAGAAAATGTAGTTATATTAGTGTTTAAATACAACTCTAATCCGTTGTAATAATTCAAAGAATAATTCTCTTTTAACGTTTTTCATTTAATTTCTATAAGTATCTATTTCTATAAGTATCTATTCTATAAGTATCTAATTGTCTAGAGTAAAGTATTTCACAGATTTTTGTTCTGCCTTTTAATTTATAATTATTTTTTAATCTATAAAATTAGAAGAAATGACAATAAAAGATAATTTTATTATTTTTAATATTATATGTAAAGTTACCAAACAAAGCTCTTGCCACTCCCAAACTGGCTGGATCAGTTGGACGATAGAGAAATTGAATAAATTTTTCAAAATTCGATACATTGCTTGTTTTGAAATTGAATAGTCTCTTAAAATTATTATTGAACGATTGTTTCAATGATGACCAACGTCCAGACAAGTATTTTACATTTTCTACATTGTTTGGTGATGTAGAAATATTTCTCTTCGACTCGTTTTCCCACATACCACTTCTAATTCTGTAAGAAAATAACATATATCTAATCTTACTTATGTAAGATGTTTTTATTTTTCGTGATTTAGATAATCGAACGTTCGGTTAAACAGCTTTCGGTTATAAGATTCTCTTGTCTCACTTATTCTGGTCAATCTACAGCGGGAAATCAACCGTAATGTATGATAATTGAACGAATTGTTAATGTTGTCAATGAGTAAATCATATTTTCGAGGCAACTTTACGGAATATGAAGTTTATTGATTGTGTAAGATAAAAAAAAGAATCTATCAGAAAAAAATCATCTGCATATGATATATATATATATATATATATATACATAATATATATATAATTTATAAATATTTTAATGAGGAGATTAACAAAAGAGGAAATATAAGGGCGAGACAAATTTCATAAAATTACGTATTAATTGAGAACTCAAAAATGCAACTGATAATGCAATTTATAATTACAATTTATTTAAAAATATTAATTGCTATATCGAAATATATATAATGAATTAATATTAGAGAAATTTATAAATTTATGTAAAATTTAATTTATATACGCATCATATTTAAAAAGCTGCGATGCAAATGCTTTTAGGTAACTTTGCGAATTACGGAGATGATTAAAATAAGTCACGGTCTAATTGTCATACAATAAAAGTACATATCTTTGCATGCAGAATATATATTGCACATCTCATCACGTCTTTCTCCCGCAAAAAAAGTCAACGCAGGTTTAAATGTGCAAAGATCTTTTAATGGATAGAAAAGATCGAGTGCGAATCGCGTACCTGACTAGTTCTCTTCGTGAACGGAGATGATAGTGTAGGAGGAGTCACAATCAACGAAGTTGGAAGACAAGACCTTCGTTTTCGTCTCTGATAGCGCCGTGTGGAGAACCGGACGGCTTCTGTCTGGAGTCTGGAGCAGTTGGAGAAGGAAGAGGAGCAGATCGCGCCGGCTGTTCCAAAGGTTCAGAGTAGGAATACCGTCGCCAAGCAACGTGGCTCGGATTATTGACCCGCGCCCGCGCAATAATTATACTTCACAACACTTCTTCATCTTGCGTGCATTAGGCTCGATAGATATCATCGATCTCTCTTAATAACGAAATCTCTGATCGAGAAACGGGATATGTCACATAATTACTATATGTAATAATAAAATTTGGCGCGACAGAAAGAAATGAAACGTCTTACATATTAAATGGATCACAGACACAATGAATTATTTCCAACTATAATTGAAATTTTTATCTCTGCGTCTATAAATGTAAATCAATTAAAAAATTATGTTAAAAAACTCCACGTTAATTAAAAAAATATTTAATTTTAATAATTTGATTAATAGAATTAAAATAAAAAGTAATAGAAAAAAAGAATTAATATAAGTAAAAAGTATAAATAAAAGCTAGTAAAGAGGAATAGGATATTGTTTTAAATACAAAATATTTATGTAGTGTTTGAAAAAAATACGATTCCTTAAAATATTTTTAAATTAATGTGGATTTTTTTAAAATAATCTTTCAATTGATTTACAGAACGTGTTAATCATGTTGTCTTCTATATATAACGTATATGATTCATGAGAACTCGTTTGCGGCGTCTAGATTACACTCGTATGATCTATATTTGGTTATATTATTTTATGTGTTATCTACTCTTAGCTCTTAAACGAGTATTATTGTTTGACTAAATACAATTACACTTTTGAATCACTTTTTCTAATTAAAATTAAGAATAATTTTTATTAATTAACAAATAAATATTTTTAAAAAATAAATATTTCGAGAAAAATCATAAAAAATAGAAGATTATTTTTATTTATATAAAATTAGATATATTATTTTATATAAATCCGAAAAAATAAATAAAATTAAAATAAATTAAAATAAATTAAAATAAATTAAAACTACCTTTTTTCCTTTGCGAAAAAATATTTGGATAACGATTTCAGATGATTCATAAGAGCTTTATCATATAAATAATCTCGCGAGATTTCTATGCATATAATATATGATTACCTACTATCATTATCAGTGATCTTAGGCTGCCTTTTATTTTGCACAAGCAGAATTGCAATTCGACAATTGGAATATTTGCAACTTTTTTAAATTTACAACAGTGTGATTTTGGAGCTGGAGAAAGGCAGTGAAAATAACTATCTCCTCTCGGAGATATTATATCTACAAGATGCTGTGTCAGAGTGCACATAGTCTCCATTAAAAAGATATCTCTTACTCGTATTATGTTCAGATATGATGAACATTATCTCTGTCCGTCAATTTGCTCTATATAGCAGAACCTGGATTCTTAACGAAGCAATAAATGGCACACAACACGGATTTAATGTTTGTCTGCCTCTTAATAATGCCTGTGTCTTTTTTAATTGTCATATTTATGATAATTGCAAATTTTATATTTGGTAATGGAAATTGAAAATTTTACTTTAAAATTGAGATTCAAACTTTCTTTCTAGATTTTTTCTATTTGACTTTATAATTACAGATTATATTTGATAAAATTTTGAGTTTTCTATTATAATTTTTCTATTTATAATTTTTCACGTCATTTTTTGTTTTAAAATATTTAACTGCCTTTTATTTGTGTCGTCTTTTATTTGTGAAAGTCTAAACGCAGCATTAAACGCGATATGCTATAATAAAATTTGCATATTGCGATAACAATAAATAGATGTATGTCGTAAATAATGGCGTTGTCACACAATGCTCGAGATTATTTAATCGCGCTAGTCATAGTCGTTGAATCGACACCGGGAGTCTTTTCGATCTCGCAGCTGGGGCGTTTTAATGAATGGACGTCGCGTTTCGCGTGCTGCATATATATGTATATATCCCCAACGGCCGTTTTAGGGCTGTAAAACAAAAGACTGATTTATTTCAGCACGCCCCTCAATCTGTCTCCGTGGACCACTTTTGATTAGTGCTGCCTCTTCACGTTTCGACCTTTCGAAACCGCCACCGCAGTTTCGTGACGGATTTCGTTCTTCCTAAGTCATCTTGTGTGACTGCATTTCAGGGTCATATAATTTCTTGCATCATTTTTTAATTAAACAATATTTTTAATAATATAAACAAACAATTATTAAAATAATATATATAATTATATATATAATAAATAATATAACAAATTTATATTCTGCATATAAAAATTATTATAATAAAAAGAATAAAGTTATTCTTATAAAGTTATTCTTAAGAAAATAAAAAATATTAGAATTTTATCATAATTATATTATATATTTTATCATAATTATATTACATATATTTTATTACAATTATATTTTATAATCAGATAGAACAAGTAAAAGAATTTATAAAATAAATTTTAATTTTGTGATGTATAATCTTTTTTGAGATTTCGTTCATGTTTATTACATTAATAAATTAAAATTTTTACTTACTCGCAAATTTTGACTCAAAAGAGAGAAGTGCATCTTCGCAAACATTTCACTCTCGCTTTTATTTCGGGTGACAAATCGAATCTGGTGTTTTCGGTAAGCGAGGAAATTAATAATATGATATTTGTTTATTTCGGCATGGGCCACCCCGAATATTTGCAGAGCGTATTTAGTTTGAAATTTGAGTGGTCGCACCTGGAATCAAATAAGAGAAAGAGAAAGAGAGAGGGAGAAAGAGAGAAAAGTGAGAGAGAGAGAGAAAGCGATCGAAGGCGCATATTTGCTCAGCTATTTATCACGGTTTATTATTTCCTATTGTCGGTGAGAGTCGGCGCATTGTTGACGCACGAGAGAAGGGCCAAGGCGAATCTCTAAAACCGTGACCGATCGAATTTGCATAGAAAATGCGAAGCGCACGTACGCGGTGCATCCGATTACAGGCCCTATTAATTGCGGTCTCTCATTGTTCTCGCGACTCATCGGACCGGACTTGCCTGTTTCTCGGATTACTGACTGTATTCTTTTTCAGGAGGGTTCGATCAAGCAAAGTAAGTACTCGTTTTAATAATGCAAAATATGTGTGTACCTCTCTCTGCTATCATTGATTGAATTTTTCATATGTGAAAACATTTTTACAGATGTGTATTTAAATTTGTAAAATCTTTGTAAGTTTTAAATACTTATGAAGTTAAAATAAAAATCTAGATCTAATATGCAAAATTTGATAAAGCTATTTATCATTGGTAATAGAAATTTTTATAATATATGGTTTTTGTGTGTTTAAAAATCAAATAACATTATATATAAGAAATTATTCTCTAAATTTTATTCCCGAAAAAAGGATTATTTGACGATTATTTATTATTATCGGCACTTCGAATCAGACGGACTCTCGTCGTGTAACAATATCAAGATTGCAAAGGATGCGGGGTGATGGAGGCGGGGAGGGGAGTTAGATGGAGTGGGCAAAAAATCGGGCATAAAATTAACAGTATACAGCCTACAGAATGCAGTTTGTTGCTTGGCAGTAATATTTCACGAAGGTCTCCCCTGCGGGGCAGAGTGGGTTCGTTCTCCAGGGGGAGGATGCAACAATGGAACCCTTTACCGAGCCCCCGGTGCCCAGATCCAGCATCCATACATCATCATTCATACTGAAAAAAAAAGCTGGGGGTACCTTTGCAAAGCGCAAAGATTGGGGGACCGCGAAACTTTCGAGGTACCGAAAATTTCGCATCAAGTATTTCTCAAACGTATCGAGAGATTATATCGCGTCTTGTCAGAAAGTGGTTTTTAATTCAAGAAACAGTTCTAGGGACAGCAGAAATTAAAATCATGGCTTGAAAGGAATTGCGATATTAATTATATATACTTAAATATATCATATCTTTTAAATTATTTTTCAATTTAATATTATATATGATTATTTAAAATTAAAATTTTAAGTATTATGGATATTTAAATATATAAAAGCTATTCTTAGATAACATTTTTAATTAGACTTTAAATTAACCACTTATCGCAAGTATTTTCTCGCAAATTTCTGATTTCATTATATCAATTTTTTCGATTAAATTATGGCAAATATAAAGTTTCAGTGACACGCAGAAAGGATATGTTTTCTCCAAAAAAACTCACAGTGTCATTTTCGTGGCCATTGCGTTTTCGGAAACCAAACTTTACCCCTTCGAAGACACGCCTTTTAAAAAAGGGTTACTCTCGTAAATAATGACAAACAAAAATCGCCGATTATTTCAATAACGTATCCGCGATCGAGAGAAAAGGGTAACCTCGATCGTTGAAGAAAGATGCACGATCAGTTTGACCCGACCTAATCGATCACACGAGAAATGGGCGAATCGTCGAGCTCATCGGCATCGCCTTGGCATGAAGTGAGAACTAAAAGGAGGAACAAGATACGAACGTAATCCGCTTTTCGAAACGAGGCAACCCCTTCGTAGACGACGACCCATCGGTCGTGTCACAGCACGGGTGACTGATTGTAAAACCATAGAGTAACCCACAAAGGGTTGCAACGCTGAGCGAGCAAGAGAGAGAAAGAGAGAGAGAAAGAGGGCAGTTTTCAGAAGGGAGAGGATTTTAAAATTGCGTCTCGTAATCGACGTGTAATCCTCTACAACCGTGACAGTCCGAACATAATGCGCACAACGAGAGATGACCAGTTTGTTTTCTCTGGTAGATGATAAGTAACGAGCTGAATGATCGCATTCTATTCTTTTAACTCTTCTACTGCCAAAAATATATAACCGATATAAAAAGATATCATAAAAGAACATTTTTATTGATTTCTGTAGAGAAACTAATATAAACTCTGTCGTTAAGCAAAACAATACTTTCATTAGCTCATTTTTAATTGAATTAACTAACTTTCAATATTTTTTGTAATTTTTGTATTATAAAGTCTCAGAAAATTTTAAATATACTTAATTAAATAATATAAAATCTTATTTCACATCGCGTTGTCCTTACTAAGCGTTCTTTCTTTTTTAATACATTGTCTTGAATATATTATCTTGTTTATATCTAAGCGCCATTTGCGCGTA